GGGGGGCTGTGTTGAAGACCTTTGGTAGAGGTTTCAGTCAGCTCCTGAGCAGCCAGCATACCACACTGTGAGGCTGTATGTTGGCACACTTCCTACTGTGGAATGGTAAAAGGTCACCTGCAGCGTTTCCTGGAAGTTGTTTTTCTTCATGATTTTCAGAAAATGCAAATTTTGCTGTGCTTTTTTTTTTTTTACATCAGCTGTGGTGTTGAGAGGAAGCTGCTGGAGGGCTCTGTTCTGTATTTCCTGAAGTTTATGACGAGTTTCTTATTTTTTTGTTTCTGTGTTGCTCTTTGGTGTCAGATTACTTCCTCACTTTGGGACTTCTGCTCTGTAAGCAGACTCATCTCCTCCTTAAGTGAGGATGACTACAATTGTGTCATGTATTGATCAATAAATGTAGATTTAATATATATTATATTAATATTGATATGTTATATCAATATTTGATATATATAATTTTGCAGCACTTTAAATAAGAAATATAGTACAATTCTGTGTATTTTACTTGCAAATTTGTCACATCTCATATTATCAAAGAATTTCTAATCCCCAAAAGTCGATTCAGTTCATCTTGACGTGGCGTTTTTAGTGGGAAAAACATCCAGGATTGGTCATCCAGGATTTGCTTCCCTGTGTCAGGGTTCCTGGGTCATTGACCCAGTGTTTTCAGTTTTTCATGATCTGTTTATTTCTCACTCAGTCTCATTTCTTGTTTTGCTATGCCATTTTCCTTCCTGTGGCATTAGTCAGATTAAGTTCACTCACCAGTCTCTAATCACTCATCATTCAGTGAATATATTTAAGTCCTCAGTTTCCACCAGTCCATTGTCTTGTCATCAAGGTTGTCACTGCCATCGTTGCCGTGTGTGTTGTCAGGTCAGCCAGCCATTCAGTCGTTCAGCCAGTCAGCATTCATGTTCTGTCCATCCACTCACTATAATAAACCTCCGTATCCTGCGTCGTGAGTCCTGCATTTGGGTCATCTCCTCCTCGCATCCACACACGAACCCTCAAAACCTGGATGATTGAACATGATTGAACTAAGAATTTCTAATATTAGACAAAGATACCACAGTGAGAGACATTATCCACACATGGAGGAAAGTTGGAGCAGTGGTGAAGCTTCACAGGAGCGGCCGTTTTATCAAAAGTACTCCAAGAACAACTCATCCAGGAGGTCACAAAAGAACCAGAAACAACAAAGAACTGCAGGCCTCACATGTCTCAGTTAAGGTCAGAGTTCAACAATAAGAAAGAGACTGCACAATTTTTTTACCACTCTTTGAACTTGTTGAATTACATTAAATTAATTTTAGTTTTTTTCTAAGTTTTAAGAAATTATTGTTTCTTGTTGGTCTATATTTCTACAAGAAATAGATGCCATATGTTTTTCAAAGAATCAAGTTGGAAGTGCGTTCTGGAACCAACCACCTGTTTTCTTGCAGTATTTTTGTTTCAGAACTTAAAAGCTAATCTCACATTTCCCTGAAAACATCTTGATAATTCCTAAGACTTTTGGGAAAATATTCTGTGGACTGATGAGACACAGGATACACACACACGCACGCGCACATGTACACTGATACTGATACGCTCTCACCATCACCCTCCCTTCCCCAAATCCAGCGCCTCCTCCCATTCTTACCTCTAATCCGATGTGGACAGCGGATCAGCTGGAGGTGCGACTGAAGATTGCAGTGGTCCCAGATCCAGCTGTACACACTGGAATACTCTCTCTTGCTTGTCTGTGTTTTATTGTGTTATGGTGTGATGGTATCTGTGCATTCCTGTATTATCCTTTTGTGTTACACATTTCGCTGTTTTTTTTCTTTGCTACCTAGCCTGACCTGTCTCCCCAATGTGATGTTTGTGTATTGTATGTACGGTCGGCAAGGTCTCGGTTGTGGACAACTGCAACTGACAAATTATGGCTATCTCATCTCATCTCATCTCATCTCATCTCATCTCATCTCATCTCATCTCATCTCATCTCATCTCATCTCATCTCATCTCATCTCATCTCATCTC